TTCTCTGACAAACGTACTGATGGTCTGGTGTCCTGTACAACCAATGTCTTCTAATAACAGATCAATAAAATTATTTTCTGTGTCTCCAGAGGTGAAAAACAAAAGAAAACCCCCTTCACTTTTGCTAAACCATTAAGCAAATACAAAAATGTTGAAGACTTACCATTACCATTTAAACCTAAATTCTACAAAATATTTATTAGCTTGATTGCTAGCCCAACTCAAAAGCCAGTGATTTAATTTTGCTGGATATTTACATTTGTATTTGTAAAACAAAACATATGATAGTCATAGTAAATCATAGTCCTCTGACAATAATTTTTATGTTTTTTCATACTACATTTAAAGCCATGAGCAACATAAAATAACTGTTGAAACAGTATTAGGCTGTGGACTGTTCCACTAGACTCCATCTGCTCCAGTATACCCACTCTAAATTTTGATACCATTATTACTTTGTCAGTGCAGTTATATCTCAGTAACAGCATCAAAACCCTTTGGTCAAATATTCAGTAACACTACACTTCTATAGTCATCTACTCTCTGTGTATATTGTTAGAACAAAACTTTTTGTAGTAATACATAAATTGTTTAAAATGCTGTCAAACTACTACAAGTATTTCACTTGGGTAGGGGGCGGGGTGAAGAGTATGGAACTACAAAATAGTGGGTGTCACTTTTCCAGAAGCATTATTAATGGGGACTATTTTAGTCTTCAGTGATGGGGAACGACAAGCTGTAGTGTTTCTTCAAGTTAAGAATAGAAAATAACTGTACTTGCAAGAATTCAATTACTCTGCATTAAAGCTGCCATGGGGTTATTGTACATTTATACATCAGAAAGTCAGTAAATCATTTTTCTATAAATTAGTCTCTCAAAGTTGACTTTTTTTTTTTCCTTTCTGTTCTGAATGCCAAACTCCTGACTGCTTCTCCACCACAGAGACTTCATATCTGGATAGCCGACATCTGTAAAAACATTTCTAATGAAAACACTACTAATACAACCCCCTGGAGAAACAAATGAAATGAGATCTAAGTATGCAGCCGCCTTTCTACAGTCCTGTCTTTAACAATAGTGCAGCTAGTGCTTCCTATCCAAGCCTTGACATAGGTCATGATCATTTAGGCACAGTAGCAGCAAAATAAATAATTGCATAAATATGTAATAACTGGTATAAATACTTAAGTAGCACTAAGAAGATATGATAATGGACTTCTGTCTTTAGTTGTTTAAGGTTTATCTCTGTGGATGGAAGGGAGAAGCATTTAAACAGCAGTGAAGGAGAACTCTGGATTGAATACTTGAAACCTCAAGTGCCAGACATAATATTGCTTCTTTTTCACAACAGCAGTTTTGAAAATGTATTAGTATTAAAACTGTTGGATATTTGCTAAAATATTACAGAAATAGTGGTTATTGCTTCACCCCAAAAAACAATATACTTGGAAGATCAATAATGTCACTCTAAATAATCCAGATTCAAAGCAAAACAGTGCCATCTTATTTTTAAAATAATTTGTTATTTTTTTAATAATGCATTCCACTGCTTAAAGTAAGTAAGGATTTAGAGATTATTTTTCTGATAAACAGTCTATCAATTAACAGGTCTAACAATTAACAGGTCCATATCTAAAATAAGGTCCATTTCTTTGTAACAGTTCTCAAGATCTTAGCTAATGCTCCATATCAAGGGCTATAAACACACTACACTCAGATTTTCTGCCTTACTTTTAAACCTGTACTAAATAATTTGAGGCAACTCCTGGTAGCAAAGGTTGGTAATAGCAAGACTCCCCCACTGTAAGAATAATTAGCACATACAGGCAGGAGAGGATCCTCTGCCTGAAGAGTATCAGAGAAGAGAACAATGTTTCTAAACACCCTCGGTTTTAGACGGGCTAATGCTTTCCCTTTAAAAGACAGGATTGGATAAATACAGGATATAAATGAAATTTCCTTATCCAAAGCCAACTGCAAGTTCTGGGCCTGAATCATAAGGCAGATGAAAGCTGGAACCGATTTGGCATGGAACTGACACAGAACAGTCCTCACTCCCTCCCCCGGCCCCCACCTCCCATTTATTAATTTTTATGGGTATTTGGGCTCATAGAAACATATTGGTAAAGTACTTGTTTTGAAATAATTCCACTAACTTCCCTACTGAAATCTGGGTACACTAAAACCAAGAGTAGGAATATGCCAGAATGCCAGGAGGGGCTGGCTGATGCTCTGCTTCCCACCTCCTTTTCTAAGGCATACAGAATCAGGATTGAGCCTGTAAACACAGGTTTCATTTCCAGTCTCTTTAGGATGGTGACTTAATTTAAGTTCATTATCTCATTCATCTGTTTCAAATTGCATTCTTTTGCCATGAAGAGAGATTAATATAGAAAACTTAGAGATTTTTTTCAACTTAAAAATGGTATTTGGTCATTCAACTGAATAGTTATAACTTTAAAAATGGTTTTGAGGCAATAAAAGGCAAATGGAATCCAACTTTTTTTTTTTTTTTAAGGAGTAATATTGAGCTCATCTCTGCTACAGATATCTATTACTAATACAGATTTTGTTTCTACAGTACTTCAGACAAGCATATAGACAAACTGTGCTGGAAAAAAGGAAATTGAAACATTAAGCTTAAAGTCTCATTCATTTCCTTGTTCTAACACAAACGGTGAACACTAAGAGTAATGAGTATATAAGAAAACAAAAATGCTAAGTAAGTTTTCTAATAATTCATGCTTCTCACCTTGCAAGTAATGATCTTTTAAATTACAAAATGGACTGAAATAGCTTAAGTTATCAGGCTTATAATTTTTTTTTTTTAAATAAGTGTTCTACCTTTTATTTTACTCAATATTTTGATTTACTAGAAAGAAAATGCACTCAAGTTCTTTCTTTAAACCCCACAGCAATGTGACTGCAATTTTCTTTAAAAGCCATGGAAGAGACTCAATGAGAAATTAAAAAGTGAAATTAACTTTGAAAGTGAATTTGTCAATTTTATGGATTCAAGCACTAAAGATTATATTACCAGAAACAGTAAACAAACATTTCTGTTCAAATATAGTCAAAAGTAAACTCAAAATCCTTAACACTTCCTTAAAATTTGCATTTTATTTAACACACCTGAAATGTCATCGAATACTAGTTAAAAAAAAATCACTAGTTACAAAAACTTGAATTCAACACAATCTTTGTGATCTTTAAGTCTAAGGCACCCTCCAGCGTGGGAAGAAGAAACTACACTTCCAATGAGCTAGCATTTGAAGAAAAACAGTGAGCAAGTCTTCCTGTGAAGATGGAAGCTCTCCGATTCACTTACAATAATCACATATGATCAGGCATCAGTGATATGACAAAGCCATGATGTACAAAACAAAATTACTTTTTATGGATTTGTGTTGGATTTATGAAGGTGTTATTTGCTTTGCTAGTGGAGAGGGATGTCTCTAAGCACAGTAATTTGAAAACTAGAGCAGGGTGTGCGAAGTATTACAAAAGCATTTTTTACAAAGTCTGGTATCGATAAGTGGTAACTCCTCACAGAATACAATCTCTGTGTTTTTACAGCTTGTTTAAAACTCTAAGGAGCCTGAATGAATAGTTTATTTAACAGGAGATGTGCCCATGGTAGGGAGGAGGAAAAACAATGCACCTAGAGGCAAAGCCAGAAACAATATATAAAAAAACATTTTATAACTAACACCAGACAAAACAGGAAGGTCACATATATATAGAAAACGGAACTTCACTGATATTATGTAAAAAAAAAAAAAAAAAAAGGAATTTTTTGCATTGGTATCTTTGTTCATTCTAAAAGTGACAAATCCTAAGACGTTTTCAGTACTTGACATTCAAACAGAAACATTTGTGCCCTTAGGACAAAAATGCCTATTGAAAGGACAGCGTTGTAGTTAATGTTATTAGGTAGATCCACACAAATAATTTTAAAATTATTGGAACAGAACGAAGGCTGGAAACCAAAACTTTTTCAACAGTGATTATGCACAAACTAGCATTTCTTGAGGATTTATCTTCTGGCATTTAACACCTTGAGACTGTGCTCTGTTCGTAATTCCACAATCAAACAAAATCTTACATAGAATTGAAGTTATGAGACAACATGCTTTGAAATATATATTAAATAACATCTTTACTTATAAATGCTCTTGTTTTAGGTACACGTTCAGAATTTAAAACATATAAATTCACTGAGTTAGTGCTTCAAGTGCATCCTTCCTCATTAGGATGCAGGTAAGAATGCATGTTTATTTCTGAACTAGGTCTTTACCATCCTCTGTTCACCCTTACAGGCCTACGTGCAAATCAGCTAGGGCAACAAAGGCATTTTCATCCTGTATAATCTTAGTTACTTAATAATTGATTCAGTTTCAGTTTCATAAGTTTTGAGAACTCCCCCCACGCTCAAAAACTTGTCTCTTATTTATTACAGAACTTAGTTATATTGGCCACAGTTGGAGAAGAAAAAATTGATTACCTTGTAATTTAGTAAAAAACTGACACTTGGTTGGTGCTTTGCTTTGGTTCAGAATCAAGAGTTCTGCCAGGGAAAGCAGCTGATGTCACTATTCCCTGGTATAGCTGAAGAGTTATTTTAAAAAATGAAATAAATTGTGACAATATTGACTAAAAATCTTAGAATGAATATTAAAAATACTACAAATAAACTTAGCCAGGGTGATGCAAAAAGAGAGAGAAAACATTTCAGAAGAAAGTACACAAGATAAATATATTTACAGATATAAATCTATATGCATATAGAAACATCTAAAAAGTCATAATCCCCATAAAACTTACAACTGTGCTTAACTTCACATGTTGCAAATATTTACATTGACTTCAAAAAGAGCTAACAACAGTGTGCAAACTTAAGCATGACCTTACATATTTTGCTAAGTAATACAGGTTTATAAAAATCACTCCCTCTGTTCAAATTCTGACTCTTCTTAACAACTTTTTGTATGCTATGCTTTTATTTAGCGATGCTCCTTTTTGCAATAGCTTCTCTGATTTGACGATCAAGTTCACTTACAATATGGTCTTCATGATTATACACTCCTGTTCTCAACAGGGTATCCCTCTCTTCTATCAGACGAGAGAGATAATCATCCATGTTCTCATTTAATTTTCTCGAATGAAGACTATCTACTCTTCCAGCAGAATTATCTCTAACATCTTGCAATTGCTTTCTTTCTTCTTCTTGCTGCTTTAGCCTGTTGTTGATAAAATGGAAAGAATCAGAGGATAAGCCATATTAAAACTTGCTTTGATTATTTTCATATTAAGTCTTTATGTTATTTATCTACTGACGTACCTAGTAAAATAAAGAAATCTGTAAAAGGTTAACAAATTATCCTCTCTCTAGAGAAAAACAACTATAAGCAAAATACATGTTAATGTAATACTTACATTCTAACATTACTTTTTCTATACGCATACGTAACTATAATACTTGCTACCAAGGCTCCTACTTTGATAATGCAAATAGCACTCAAATTAAAAGGGTTCAACATACAGAACTACTGCAGACTGTTTTTAGAGGACAACATTAGGTAGATTTAAAATTTTAATATATTCAAAATATGACTAGAATGTGCCTCTTTCTTAATGCAGCAGTTATCCTTAGAATTGAAGGTTTAACACAGAAAAAATCCTGGTGCTGTGACTATAACAAAAAAGTGGGGTACAGTGGCCTTAAATATAGATTTTTCTATACTGCAGGATTGTTGCATTTTATAAGTGTCCAATCTTTACCTAAGGGACAGTAAACTCTGTTCTTTCACTGGACTGACAGCCAATTATAATCTTGATTTAACTGAAACTTCTCCTATTTTGAGGCAGATGGCAAAAAAAATAGAGGGGAGCGGGGAAAAAGAAAGTATTTTATAAATGCTTTTATACCTGTTAAGTTCATTTCTGATATCCTCCAGCTCTTGTCGGTCTGTTTTTCCCAGCTCTTTTTCTTCTACTGCCAAATAGCGCAACCTCATGTGCTCCAGTTCTTGTTGCTGTTTTTTAAGGTGAGCCATTGCATTTTCTTGTTCACGCTAACATTGGAATGGGTGAAGACAGAGCTCAGTTGACTACATGATTACATGTAAAAGTGCTAGTTACAGTGACATGAACAAAACTTCAGGCATGAAGTAATAACAATTAAGTCTCCAGTAGTATTAGAAAAGCAGGAGTTCAATAGAATGTCATAGCTGTTGATACCTATAATGCAGTAAGATTAGCGACTATCACAACTGCAGTAAACCTGTCTAGGCGGGATCAGCTGAAGCCTAATTACAGGTATCTTCCCATTAACAAAATTGTAAGAATTATCAAAACTCTGGCTTAAGCTGGTAAACATAAAACTTGCACTTGTGGATCTGCTCAAGATACTGAAGTTTACTCCTTCACTACATGGTATTTTAAATTATTACTTTGAGAAATTAAAACCAGAAAAATTCTAAATAGCTGCAGAAAACTTCCATCATCAGCCCCATAGTGCCTAGTGTCAAAGCTTCAAGAACTACTTTTTGAAACTGTTATTTGTGGCTAGAAATAAGCCTTGAAAGCAAAACTGTGGTGAGATTTCCTTTTACATTTGTCTAGCTCTACACAAAACCTTAGATAAATTATTCTGTGGATTTAATCCAATTAATCTATCAATACTAAAAGTTTACTTGGTTCTATTTTTTTAAGCTCTATATATACACTAATGAAATTAGGGTTTGAGTCCACTAGCACTTTGTGACATTGAAGTGTCTTAATGAGAAGTGTGGTCCTCACTCCAGTTGTTTTCCTCCCAGTCATTTTCCATATGACCTTGTGCACTAACTCAACACAGTCAGCCTTACACTCTGAAGTGTAAGACGACCTGAAGTAAAATGGCACATCTTCCTGTAGTTAAAAAATAAGGCAGGATGTTACACAAGCATCCTTGATCTACACATATTGTGAAATGCAAGGTTACCTTTGTAATTTTGGCATTGCTTTCATCTGAAATATTTTATTGTTAATACAATCAGTTTTATATTTATTATAGGAGTAAAGAAAAGGATAATTGTTTGATATATGTGAGTGTATTCATTATACAGTCAATGTAATAATATTTGGAAGAGTCTAGTCAGACAGTTTCCCAAATCTCAGCTCCCAGTATCTTAAGCACTCCCTATTGATGATCACTAAGTGATAAGAAAATCTGAATTTCACAAGGAATTGGATAAACAAAGACTCTCATTGTTAATGTGAACAGGCAACACAATAGAAGAGTTCCTTGACAAGAACTCACAGCAAGTATGTAACCTCAAAATATTTTATTTTTATACTAAATCAAATACACTAGCCAGACAAATTACATGTTAGAACTGCAGCGAGACAGGTCAGAAAGCCTGAAGAACAACTTGCTAAAGGGACACAGACTAATAATAAAACCAGAAGTAGGAATCCTGCCAAAGAGTCTACAGCTGACAGATGACTGAAGCATAAAAAAAGCACTCAGGGAAGATAAGGCCATAGTCCTTCCTTCCCCATCAAGAGTTCATTGCAGAAGAACATTCCCATGTGAAAGGCACCCTTTTTTGTGGGATAGGTTTGAAGAACAGTCTCAGAATATGTTTTAGAATAGGAATATACAAATACATATAGCAAATATTAACAGTAACTACAAATAGCTGGTACTTATGCAATAGTTTTCTAAAGTTCCAGGGAAATTCAAACACAAAGTCACAAGACTAACTGGAGGTGTAATCTGCCACCAAAATTTGTGCTTACACCACAGAAATAACTATTTCTCCATTTAAAAATTGTATTCGTTTCTTTAAACAGAGGCCTTGGGAATATCCAGGAGCTACTAGGTGGACTTGCTTCCACTGACCAAATTATTTGAAACCATAACTAAAACCAAAACAGGATGTATGGGTACACCAATAAGAATGAATCCAGCTTTTGTAGAAAAGTCAAGCTTCCAAGTAGTCTTAAAAGAACCCCCAAAACCAACAAAATATCACACCAAAGAAACAACCTACAACCAAACACAAAACTAAGCTCTCACAGAGAAAATTCTCTCAGATTAGTCAAGGTTTAAAAGACCAGAGAAAAGGTAGCAATTGATAATTTCCACAACAGCAAGAAGGTTAACAGCAGACTCTACAAGAATCTACTCTTTGATACATTCATAAAGGAGGAAGTCATTCTGTGGGGAAAAAGTGAATGCGGGAGAGAGATATTATGGGGACTAAAAGATGAATTAGTTCGAAAAGGAAATAGCTAAATTAAGAATGTATCCACTGATGTCTGCTCAACACAGCAGCCTGAACGCAACCACTGGCTCATGATGTACTTTAATTGACTGCGGGCAGCTGTAGAATATCCACAGACATCCGAGCCAGGTTTCTCAATCTTGTGCATCTACTGCTAGCCTCCATATAGGCTAGATTGGTATTTCATGTCAGCTGGCTAGTTTGGTCTTTTCCCACCTAATGAAAAGCACTATCTGAAAGTCAAAGCCAGGTAAATTCCAACTAGGGACATGATTCAAGTTGTTAAAACAGTGGAAATTAATCACTTAAGCAATATACCAAACTTAGGAGCTTCCTAATCACAGAATGCTTTGAATTAAGATAGACATTTGTGTTTTAAAAAATGCTAAAGATCAAGCATTACTATTCAAGTATTTAACAAAGAAAAGATAGAGGATGCTTTTTTTTATCCCAGACAATTATCAAAATGGCATTCTTCAGTTTCCAAATATACGGATAGGCAACAGCATCCAGACAGTAAAGTGAAATTTCAAGTATAAAATGGGCTATGAGGAGGAATAGAATTTTCTTTACTATTTTGATAGTTGTACTTATCTTGAGTTGTTTGCTTTGCTAAATGAAGGTATTAAGACAAAATGTTGAGCATGATCTAGTCTCAAAGAGTTGGTATAAAACCAGTACAACTTAAATTATAGTACAAGTAATAGACAACAAATATCATATCAGCCATGCAAAATCTAGAAATACGACGACTTGCTAATGTTTACTTCTTTTCAAGTCCATCATTATTCTCAGTACTCTCATTTGAGCTCTTAAGTTAGATTCTTTTCACAGTGGAGCAAGTTAAAATATTGCTTGGTTCAGGAAAAAAAAGTTGAGATTCATACCTTAAGGCAAACATGAGACCTAAAATTCCAAGTATGTTAAATCTCCTTTTTAAAGTTCTGTTTAGTCTCAGGGGAGGAGTTGTTGCTCTGTATATGCAGAAGTACAAAAACTTCCACTTGCCTGTCAAGTGAAGAATCCAATAATTGTCTGGCGATTACCTACTTTTTCTGACTAGACAACTAGCATAAAGAAGCTTGCTGTACATATCCCTGTAGTCAGTACAGTAAAGCCTGCATATCCAATTTCTGATTTTGGAATTAATTTGTATAGTAAAATTTGTTTTTTCCTGTTGACTTTATAAAACAGTGGTAAGAGTCTTGGAGGCCACACAATAAATTACACAAGAATGCAATTTACAAGCAAACTGCCTCATCTGTAAGAGTAAACCCTCATTACTGTGGAAGATGCAGCTGACATCTTCCTCAGATGATATAAAAGAAAATCTAAATCTTTTACAGAAGACAGGACTCCTAACTGCCATTATCTCCTTTTTCTAGCCTTTCTACCTATGCTGTTTTGTAGATGATTAGCTTCAGTCCAATGCATTGTCGCAGATGGTGAGAAAAGAAGTAACTTTGGAAAAAACCTCTCCTTGCTCTGCAGTTCAGTTTATTCATGCTCTAATCATCCCTTTTTAAGTGAGGACTACTGTCATGGGGCATTACTGCAAGTCTGTCAAATTTGTGTATTGCAGTAATTTTATGAGAGAATTTTTTGAAGGTATGTTGGGCAAAAAACATCTGAAAACTAAATGCTAGAAAACTAGTGTGAAACAGAGTAGCACTCATTACCAGCACAGCAAGACTTTAACACGCTAGCAAAAAACTACATCCTTGTCTATTAATGAAACAGATTCTAATAAGACATGTAATACACACAAATAATCAAATAGCTGTGACTACGCTGAATAGAAATACTCTAATTCAGTCCTTCAGTCTGTGGAGTGTATTTCTTGGACCTATAAGGAAAGATTTTGAAAGTGTTCTTGCAGTGTTGCACCTTCAGAGGAAAGACATAACTGTGTGCTGGCCATAAGAAGCACGTTGGACTACGAAGTTTCATGACAAGTTGGAAAATTACTACTTGAGGCAGGAAAGTTTAATGATTTGGAGGTTTCTGCTGTTTAGCAACATGCTCACAATGGCAATCTGATAGCAAAAAAAGACATTTTAAACAAACTCAGAGAAAAGACATATATTGAAGGTTAATAGAACAAAGTCCTTAAAGCTTAATCGGACCAGGAAGAAGATGGAATATTCCTAATACTTTCCTATTGATCAGAAGAGATCTCATTTAATATATTGGTCCTTTATCTCCTCACTGGACTAGTTAGTTTCCGATTCGTAAGTTTTTTGATTAAGAAACATCTTTAGTGATGTTTAATAAAACCAAGAAAATCACAAAAGAGAATGATGCAAAAGCCAAGGAGAGAGAGGAAAAACAAGGCTTTTCTGAAGAATCCTTTGTTCAGTTCCTGTGCCTTTTGGTATTTTTTCTCTGGTAAAAGTGCCTCTTAAAAAAAATTAAAACAAAAAAATCAGTGCCACTAGTGAGCATGCTCATTGCTCAGGATAATATCCCTAGGTTTGTAAGGAAATTTGAATGTAGTCGTAAATTATCTTTTTCTCCATAGAGAAGGAAAACTCTTCAGTACATTTTGTCTCCAAGTTAATGTTGGGTAGGACTTCCTTTCAGATAAATGTGATTAGAAATTTAATATGATTACTAATCATAGAATGGTTTGGATTGGAAGGGACCTTAAAGATCATCTAGTTCCAACACCCCTGCCATCAGCAGGGACACCTTCCACTAGATCAGGTTGCTCAAAGCCTCATCCAGCCTGGCCTTAAACACTTCCAGGGAGGGGGCATCAACAACTTCTTTGGGCAACCTGTTCCAGTGTCTGACCACCC